AATATTAAAAATTATTACTTGATAATCTTCACTAGCAAAATGTATGCATAACCAATCCCAATCTTCTGGTCACACATCTTTATAAAGGTGTCGCTGCGCTTCTTCAGGATCCTCAAAGCTTCGAAAATATTGGGCATGATCATAAAGATTATCGCGATAAGCCCTATCCATAAGACAATTAAGGTACTCAAGGACTAATAAAATTAATAACAAATTTACCAATAAAGGAGTCATAATCAACTTTTTAACATCGAGATCAATCTTCTTCCACTTTTTAGCCTGATGTGGAGCCATGGTTCATACCAAAAACCTACATTCACTTGATAGTCACTTTGAAGCTAATTCGCACTTGGGTCTACTAGTTTCAGGATCCATCACGATCCTAATCTTCCCAGAGACCTTGACAATATCTTCGATGCCTACTCCACGTGTCGTCATACGTACTTTTTTCTTTGAAGGAGGAGGCTCTTGCAATATTTAAAAATTTACATTAAATATTAATAATGAATAAAATAAAATAATTTCAAACATTAACATATACAAATACTGCCTAATATACTATCATCTCCACCAGGACTGATAGATGAAATATGTATTGAAGCCGGAAGAGTCGAATAAGGACTCAATGTCAAAAGAGTCCATGTCGGAGAAGCAGATGCCATAGGAGTTGACGAAATATGAGTGCTATGAGAAATATTCTTGCTCGGTGTTGATTTTTTTTACCCTTGTTCCTGTTCTTATTAAACATCTAACCTAGATAAAATAATTAATATCAAAGTTTTGGCTAATCATGCATGGATAGTTTTATATTATTGAACTGGTTAGTCTAGTATAACTACAAGAAAAACTACATTCTGCAACCAATTTTTTAGCAAATAACCAGAATTAGTTGCAAAAAGGCTACATTTACCAACTAAATTGCCATTGGTCGAGCAAAGAGCAACTCAATTTCGGGGTCCACATGTTCCAACTTTTGGCTTCTAAAGTTAATGTTCTGCGACTATTTTGTTAGTTGCATAATAGGTTGCCTTAGTGACTAATAAATTTAGTTGCAATTTTTGGTGGGCGATTTTTCCCTCCATAATTTGACAATTTGCATCTACATTATTGGTTACAAAAAACATTTTTTTGCAACTACCCCTTAATAGCTAAATTAGTTACGGTTAATTAGGAATTTATTAGTAACTATTATGATTAGTTATAGAAAAATTAAATTACCAAAATATCCCATATTTGGACAATAATTACAAGGGTCCCAAGGTATTTTTAGCAACAAATGTTTGTGTTCATATTAACAATAGTTGCAAAAAATTATAAATAGCAACTAAATTCGGTTTAGTTGCCAATTTAAGTTGAAAAATTCATGTTTCCCCCAAATTATTAGTTTTCGCCAGACTTCAATTATAGGCAACTATAACTAATTCTTTCCTGACTAAAAATTTAGTTACAAATTGATTTGTTTGCAAAATATAATTATATTTAAAAATTAAACAACTAATTAAAAGCCTTACTTTTTAAAGTTATTTACAAAAAAACCTTAACCTATATAAAGTAAGCCTTTCCCCAAATTCCTAATCTTCTCCATGCAAATCCCTAGCTATTTCCCCAAATTCCCAATCTCATAACCTAACTCTTCTCTTCTCCACGCAAATCCCTAGCTATTTCCCTAAATTCCCAATCTCATAACCTTACCTAGCTCTTCTCTTCTCCACGCAAATCCCTACCTGTTTCCCAAAATTCCCAATTTCTTCTCCACACAAATCCCTGGCGATTTCCCCAATAGAAGAAGTTTGAGTTGGTGCTCATTTGATGGATTGATGGACCACGTTAGACTTGGTACGTATTGTGTTAGGAAACTGATAATGTACAATTATAGGTGATTTTGAGAAAGATGATGTTTCTCCTCATATCGTTTTCTTGTTTACAGTAATTTGTGTTGTTGATTAGTAAATTACGTTTTTATTTAGTAAATAGATTTGATTTCTGATGGAAAACCCATCATGTTTTGATAAAATATTTGGAGCTTCTCAATCTATCTTGAAGCAGTTGCCATCTTGCCCCATCTGGTATTGCTGCAAAGGTCAAGCAATATTGACAACCTAAGACTTTGTTTTCCTTCTTGGGCAAGCCATTATATGTTCCCAAAGCCGCGTACTTTCTTTCATCCTATTGATCATATTGTTCCATTTGTTCCAATTACTGTTCAGTCCTCAAAATTGTATGTAGATGAATGTTTCTGTGAGAACTGCTCTGGCTGTAAGGTTGATAAGCTCATAGAGTTAAAACAAGGTTTATCCATTCAGGAAATCATTTCTTTGTGGTTTGTTGCAGTTTGTAATTGAAAGTTGTCATATCTCATCACAGGTTATACTTACGAGCATCTTAAATTTCTGTTTGTTTCCACGAATTGCATAGTTGGGATGATATAGTTTAGGCAGGTTGCCAAATTTGAAGAATGGTATTGGTTTCATTATTTTTAGTTCTTCCTCTTTAGGTTTGAAAGGTTCCACATACATGCAAATGGAGATGCATGCAAATAGTTTCGGTTAACATTAACAGAATTTTTGAGTGTATATGGGAAAGGGAAAATTATTTTATTATATACTGGAAGATGGAAAAAATGATCAGATTAAGGTGATTTATTCATTACATTTTCTTGCAGTATGGTTCTGTTGGCATTTCTTTTTGTTTGTAACAGAAGTGAGAAAGTATGTCCATTGGAGCACTGTACTTGCAAATAGTTTAATGAATAGGGTGACTTAAACTGGAATTTTTGTGGTTCTCATTTTAATTATAGTTTGACAATTTTGCACCCATTTGCTTTTTAAGCTACTTAAGGGAAAACGTTGGCATGCTCCCCTAGGGTTCAGCAACAAAAGCTAACTGAAGGTATTTCTATTATGAGAAAAGCTAATGTTCTCATTGCTCTTGCCATGGCTGCTGATGCTAGAAGGGTTTGTTCTTTACTTCTATGAGGCATATGAATCTTAATGTGCCTTTTGAGTATCTATGCCACCATGAAATATTTGTTTATGCTTTTAATTTGGTTAAAATAGTTATCAAGAGTTTGATTAATTATGGTGTTTAATGACATAATTATAGTGATGATTGACTCGATAGGTTTTGAGACTTTTTCTGTATTAACAGCTTGCCCTTTTGATAATGATCAATGTTTAATTTTTAAGTACTTTGTGACATGATAGGGTTCTTTTGGACATGCTTAATTGTCACCAAATAGAGGCTCTGCACCACAGTTTCATTGATTGTCAGGATGCCATGCTTAAGAACACATTTTTGTTTTAGAATGCGGCTAACTACAGATATGAATGAAAGAAGATACATTCCAAAACCATTAATTAGTAAGGCTAACTATGGATGAATCTCTGCAGAATTATTCCAAAGTATGCTATTACGTAGCCCTATAAGAATAGGCCGCACATATTTTTCAGTTGAAGGTGGGGCATATGAGCAATGGCCGCTTGACTGTTTTACATTCGTCCATTTCAATTTTTGTTTTGATCAAATTCTTTTGCCAGTTTTTTCTTATATGTATTTATTTTTTAAACTATTGACCAACTTGGCTGTAGGTTGTTGCTGGTGAACTCGAATTAAATCATGAGCGCAATCATGACTTATGTATTTGGGTACAGGTTGTTACAGACGAATATGTATTTAATTTCAATCCTTGTTGACTTATAACTTCAAAAATGCAAATAGATTAAAGCATATGTAGAAAGTACCAACCTGGTTTCTCAATGTTTTGGGCCTTTCAATCGTATTGATGAAATATTAGATCAAATTTTTTTGAGTGGAACATAGATTCCGAAGATGGCTCCTGGTACAAGAAGGACCCTAGCTAGATGTGCAAATGTTTTTCGACAGAATCATAGTCCTGTACCGACTCCTGAAATTTTTGCAAACACTGGTAAAGATATGATATTGGTTAATATAAGCATACTGAAATATATACTTGGATTTTAGATATTGTCTGCAATGTTTGTTTAAAATTTAAGAATACATTTTACTTTACCAACATCTAAACCGTCCTTGTGATAACATATTATTTACTAATGATGCATTATTTTGATTTTGTAGACAATATTGTGGCAAAGAACGTGAGAGGGAAGACTAGAGGAGTTGGATGTGAAAGACTCGTACAAACAGCGCAGTCGAAGTTGCATGTAGACTTTCAAAAAGAAGATGGAGTACCTATTGGAGTAAATGCATCAAAGTTGAGTACTGAGGTAGGAATAGTTGCGAGAAACTATGCCCCCGTTAGAGTGCTTACTTGGAAGAAAGTTCCTTACAATGTCAAAAAACAAATGATTGCTCATATCACGGTAATGTAGTTTAATATCATTATCCATATTGTCATACTTCCTTATGAAAATAATATATAATACCCATATAAGTTTAATGCATATACATTATTGATGAATTTAGACCAAGTTTGACATTGATGTCACGGAGCCCCATGTACTCAAATGGCTGAAGCACAAACTGTGTAAGAGATTCAACAACTTTCGAAGTGCCCTACACAAGAAATTCAAAGCATATGCTACTAAGGAGTAAGCATTACAGAATAGACTTGAAGAAATTAAAGATCCCGATGATTGGATATATCTTTATGACCTTTTTTCTAGTGAAAAGTTTTAGGTAAGGTCAACATGGCTTTTAATGTTATTATATATGTATTGTATTTTAATATTAAATTTTGTGGTGTTAGGCACGATCAAAAACTTATTCTGAGAATCGGTCGAAGATGAGGTGTAACACCGCGGTGGTTCCAAGAACTTTATCCAGCATAAAAAAGAAAAGGTATTTAATATTATTCACCTATACAAATATACAACTTTGTTTTCCTGTTTACTAATTTTATTTTAATTTATGGTCAATGACGATATGAACTATTAAGGCGCACCAACTTGGGGAATCTGTCTATCCTATACAATTATTTCATGACACTCATTGGAGCGCCGAGAAAGGGTGGATTAATGAACAAGCAAGAGAGCTATATGTAAGTTGATCATCTTTCAATTATCGATATATGAAATGTCTTACCATTGAATTGGGTATAAATGTATGGTGATACGGAATGGAAGTTGATCATCATTGCATTTCTCTGTCATCTTTTGACCTGTAATTATGTTGGTGCTTGTGCATTTGTTTGATATTGGCATTTAGTTTTCCTGAGTGTTACCAAACTTTTATAACTATGCTGTGGTTTGCTATTGATATGTTACAAACATTGCAGGATAAGGCTTAAATTTAACTTGTGTTATACTGTTTCTCTTGATTGAACTTTACAGTTTGTATTTTTTAAAGTAGAAAGTTAGAGTTTCTTCTAGTAGGAAAAACTTGTTTCATGGTTTATGTAGATATTTCAAATTTTCTTCTAAGCATTTTTGCGTCAGTTGTCATCCATCCTAGGGACATGCTATAACTAAAAGTGCAATTTTAGGAGCCTTTTAAGAGCATTTTTATTTTCATGGATTGATTTTATTTATGTTAGCATGTTGTTAATTGATTAGTAAATATGTAACTTTAAAATTTAAAACTAGGGAATTGAAGTTTAGATTGATAATGTTTGAGATACTTGCTTCTCTACTCCATCAATTTTATTTTTGTTTGGTGCTGCAGTATTCTTTTATGTCACTATTTAGTTTCTTGGTTGACTTATTGATTATGCATTGAATTGATGGTAGGAAAAAATGATAGAGCTGCAAGATGAAACACAAGCAGGGGAAAGTGAAAAAACAGAAGCTGAAATATGTGAGGAAGTTTTGGGTAAAGCTTCCGGATTTAACCAAAATTTTGCATTTTCACAGACTGAGCATCATTCCACTGCAGCAAAAGTAGAGTTAAGGTGCATTGTGCAACAACAAGAAAATGAGATTAAACAGTTGGAGGAGCAACTCATCTTATTTGATCAACAAAAAGAGAAAATAAAAAGCCTTGAACAACAACAATTTGTCTTGTTGGAGATGATGAAGCAGCTAACTATAGCCCTTGAACTACAGCAATCTGGTAAAGCTCCAACTCGACAGCCATTGCCATCTCCAACTGATGAAGACTCGTCCTCATCAGCTACAGCTATTTCAAAAATCAAAACTAGTGACACTTGACATGCTAACAGTATTGATGGTTAGTTTTTTGTTGTATGGGCAGTAGATATTTTGACATAGGGGTAGAACCATCTTTTTAGGATTGTTTGCATATATCTGTTAGATGGTGTACATGAGGTGGGCATTTTTTTGTTAGTTATGCACAGATAGATAGCTAGTGGGGAAAATGTGGGTGCATGCTTTTTTTTTTTTTGGGTTATGCACATGTGATAGTGCATTTTGGATTTTTATTGCTCATCATGCATAAAAATCCATGTATGGACTATATATATAAATATATATATGTATGAAAATATGATATTTGATGTTAGTGATCAGATTTTTATATTGTGTCAATTATTTTGTTGATGTTGAATATATAAACTAGGTCAATACGAAATGCTCTAAAAAAAACACATTCTGCAACTAATATTTTAGTAGCAAAAAGTAATTTAGCATAATTACATTCCGCTTAAGGTCAATACGAAATGCTTTAAAAAAAACACATTTTGCAACTAATGTTTTAGTAGCTTAGTAGCAAAAAGTAATTTAGCATAATTGCTTCCACATTCAGCATCTAAAGTGATTAGAATTAACCATCAAATTTTGGTTACCAAAAGATACATTCGTCTACTAATAAAATAGTTGCGAAAACCTTTTGGATTTCACATTCAGCGTCTAAAATGATTAGAATTAACTACTAAATTTTGGTCACTAAAAGATACATTCGTCCATTAATAAAATAGTCGAGAAAACCTATTGGATTCCACATTCAACGTCTAAAATGACTATAATTAACCAATAAATTTTGGTCACCAAAAGATACATTTGGCCACTAATAAAATAGTCGTGAAAACCTATTGGATTCCACATTCAGCGTTGAAAATGACTATAATTAACCACTAAATTTTGGTCACCAAAAGATACATTTGGCCACTAATAAAATAGTCGCGAACACCTATTGGATTCCACATTCAGCGTCTAAAATGACTAAATTAACCACTAAATTTTGGTCACCAAAAGATACATTCGGCCACTAATAAAATAGTTGCGAAAACCTTTTGGATTTTACATTCAGCGTCTAAAAGTATTACAATTAACCACCAAATTTTGGTCACCAAAAGATACATTCGTCGACTAATAAAATAGTTGTGAAACCTTTTATGAAATTACCCTTACACCTTTAGCGCCTAATTTTTGTGGCATTCGTGACAAATTATTAGACACTAAAAGGTACATTTTGCAACTAATTGATTAGTCGCTATACCATTTTACCAAATTACCCTTGAACTATTAGTGTCTAAGCAGGGGGACTATTTTGACCAGCAATTAGCGACTAATTTGCTAGTCACTAAAAAAAAATTTCTGCGTCTAAACAAAAATTTAGACGCACAAACAATCTATGATAGCGATTCTGCAACTACGAAATTTAGACGTGAAATATGGTTTAGCGTATAAATTTTATTTTTCTGCGTCTAATTTTGTTAGACGCCGAAAGACATTTTTCTTGTAGTGGTACTTGAAAAATTGTGTTCATGAAATATTTAACAGAAAAGGGTCATCATAATGTTTTTTTTTTTTTTTGTATCTGTCCAACTAGCTTTCAGATTAAAAAAACAAAAAACAAAAACAAACCTAATGAGATGAGAACATAATTATGACTTCTAAATTGCATCTTATTTTCTCAAAATATTCTTTAGTTTTGAATAACAAAACTTACACCGCCTAAAAATTATCTCAACTTATAAAGCACACACAAACAAAAAAACCTTAAATTGTATTACTAACAAAGCCCTATCCTACTTCTATCATAAATTAAAATTAAACAAAACGAATCAACACTAATTGCCCTCAAATGCATGCTGATCTCTTATGGACAATTAACAACTTTATAGCATATGGAAATTTATCGGGTTGGAGCACTAAAGGTTATATGGTATGTCTGGTATGTAACAAGGAGACTTCATTTACGTGGTTGAGAAGTAAGATATGTTATACAGATCATCGACAATTCTTACATTCTGGGCATGCATGGAGACGGAGTCAACTACATAATAATAAACTAAAAACTTGAGCTGCACCGAGGGAGTTATCAGGGGTCGATATTCTAAATTAATTGAGAAGTGTTGAGATGGTGAAATTGGGAAAGAACCCAGGTAATCAAGATAAAAAGCGAAAACATACACCAGCAGAATTGAATTGAACGAAAAAAAGTATTTTCTTCAAATTGGAATATTAGTCATCTTTAAAAGTATGACATAATATAGATGTCATGCATGTAGAGAAGTGATAATGTTGGGACAATTTTGTGCATTGATGGAAAATCGAAGGATACTAATAAAGCTCGAATGGATTTGCAAGATATGAACATGAGGAAGGAATTGCATTTGGTGATTGCATTTGGGGAAAAATGGTGATAGATACATTAAACCACATGCAACATACACTTTGACACTGCAGGAAAGAAAAGACTTTTGTAACTTAAGATGATTAAATTTCCTGATGGTTATGCAACTAACATATAAAAAAATGTAAGTGTTAAAGATGGTAAACTTGGATCACTTAACAGTCACAATTGTCATGTTTTACTTCAACAAATTCTTCCCATTGGCATTCGGAAATTTTTGCCATGTGACGTTTATATTGCATTGGTGGAGTTATCTTGTTTTTTTAACAAATTTGTGCAAAGTCAATTACAAAAGATGTGTTGCACAAGTTGGAGGAACATATCGTGTTAATACTTTGTAAATTAGAGATGATTTTTCCATCATCCTTTTTTGATATCATGGTTCATGTAGCTGTTCATTTACCATGTGAGGCAAGACTTGTTGGACCAGTTAGATTTCAATGGATGTATCCAATTGAAAGGGCTTTTGGAACTTATAAATCTTATGTAACGAATAAAGCAAGACCCAAAGACTTTATTGTCGAGGCATACGTTGTTAATGAGTCATTGACATTCTATTCTATGTATCTTTATGATATTGAGACCAAATTCAACCGACCAAAGCATAATTTTGATGAAAATGACAAAGTTGGTGATGCATCTATTTTCAATCATAGAGTTGGTCCATATGGTGGGAGGCAACCGATACAGTTACCACAAGTAGAAATTGATAAAATACATTGGTACATTCTTAATAATTGTGTGGAATTGTGTGATTATTTAGAGTAAGCGATATTTTGCTAACCTTATGAATTTTTTGATTTTGTGAGGTTTTGATTTTGTCGTTTTATATGATATGTTTTAACTTTATTTAATCTTTTGCTGTATCTTATGAAAAAATGTTTAGTGAGCACATGCTTAAATTAGAAAAAGAAAGTGAAGGCACTAATACTTTAGAGGTTGAATTATTAACAAGGCAACAAAATTTTTTTCCTAACAAGCTTGAACATCGGGTAAGTCATCGAATATTTTGGAGTCATTTTTTTTTAAATTTTTTTATGGTTTTCAATTTTTATATTGATCATATATTTTAATCTTTATATATATATTTTTTGGTAAAATGAAAGTGTTACGTTCTCAAGGAGCAGTTGAGGCTACTGATGATTTGTATTCATCAGCATGTAAGCTTGATAGACGAGTGTCTAAATATACTGCTTGTATTGTTGATGGAGTATGATTCACTGTGAAAGATCATGATGATCGACTCACAACTCAAAATAGTGGTGTTTTAGTGTATGAGGAACTTGAAGATGATAATAATGGTGGTGGTGGTGATGAGAGGATGGAATTTTATTGGATACTTGATTTAGTTGTTAAAGTGAATTATATTTATGACAGAAGTGTGATTTTGTTTAAATGCACTTGGTTTGACACTGCCCTAAAAAGAAATGGGTGCAAAGGGATTTTCACATTACAAGCATCAATGTGAGTCACAAATGGTATGCCGATGATCCTTATGTGTTAGCATATCAAGCTAAACAAGTTTTTTACATTGATGATCCTAAGTTAGGGGCAAATTGGAAAGTTATATAGAAGGTGCAACATAGGCATTTGTATGACATTCCTGATAAAATTGAGGAAGATTAATCGACAACACATGATGCATATCAAGCCAATAATTTAGATGAATTTAGTTTTCATATTGATGCGGAAGTTAATTAACAAGAAGAACTTCATAGGGTGGATGTGGAATCAGAGGTTGTTCAATTTGTGGAGCCAAGTAGTAGAGTTAGTGATGATGATACCGGTTTCATAAATGAAAATAGTGAAAATGGGATGAGTGATGAAATGTAACACCCCACTTAAGGTACGTAGTTAATGCTTCTTCTTTTGCTATTATTGTTTCATTGGCCTTTGATTGAGTGATATGTTGAACACTTGCCTTGAAATTGGTTGAAAATAAAAGAAGTTTAGTGTTCCAGGCTTCGCCGGGGCGAAGAAGAATCTTCGCCGCGGTGAAGAGGTGTTGAAGCCCACGGGGAAGCTGCTGGATAGTTTTGTTGCGAAGACAGAAGCTTCTTCGCCGCGGCAACGTGCCGACCAAAATGTTTGTTAAGTTTTAGATATTTTCTTCCTTAAGGGCAATTTGACCATTCTACCCCTAATTAGTAGGAAAAGTGGGGAGTAAAATGTAAGGAATTTTCATGAAGAATATGTTATTATGGGGGTGTGTTTGTAATGAATAAAAGGATATAGATGAAATTCTCAATAAAGAGTAAAGGCAAAATGGGAATGCTTGTGCATAAATTATGTTAAAAGGAATTAAGTCATTGCACACCCTTCATTCTTCTTCTCCACCGCCACTCTCCTTTCTTACTTCCTCTCAATTTCTCTTTCATTTGTTTAAGGATTTTTAGAGGGCTTTTGGAGTGCTTTGGGGTAGAAAATCAATCTAAGGCATCCTGAGGTAAGGATTCTTGCTTTGGATGTGAAGTTTTGTGAGATTTTGAGTATATTTGAATATTGAGGGCTTTTGGTTGAATTGTTTAAAGGGTAGAGAAAAAGTCAAGCAAACCAAGAGAAAGGAAGTGCTAGTGAGATCTCTCCATCACAAGGTAAGTAAATCCCAACCCAA